CTAAAGTTTATTTAGGTTCAGTTATGTGATTGTCCAATTTTATAACCTGCTCTTATACAATTGTTTTTCAAAGAACCTAAATTAATGTAAGATTTTTTTGTGCCCTTATTTGAGTCTTTGTTGGAATAAGAGACTCCGGTACACACAACACAGCTAGGTTACAAGTGATATTCACTTATAAAGACAAGCGAATTTCCAGAACGTAAAGACGCGACCTCTAGGAACAGCGCTCCGACGTTACTACCATTACAAGCACAGGCCAGAACTAAATTGTCATGAAGAGCTGTACGGAGGTAAATTAAGTAGTCCAGTGCCTACAAAATGAGTAAAGGACTTTGTGTTTCAAATGAGACCAATTCCCTTAGTTATAAACTTTTATTCCGCTTAAAACACCGAGGTCATATTTGAGTATTCTGCACATGCATAATGACAGTATTCTGGTATTCAGTGTTTGTTTAAAACACACGATCTTCTGCAAAGTTCCACACTACTGGATATTTTTGAAAGAAGACGCCATTTAGGTACTACGTATAATTCAATATTCCACTTTTCCGTTCTTTTTTATATAACGATTAGGTCGTTACAGATTTGAGAATTCTTGTTCAGTTTCTGTTAAATAGTTGCTCTGAAACTAAAGTAAAATTATCCGAACCTAACTCAACCCAACTCATCGAAAACTAACCTAAAAACCTAACGTGACGCAACCCAACCTAACCAAACGTAGTTTAATCCAACCCAAAATAAATCAACCTAACTTAATTGAATTAGCCACTTTGATTCTCAGAGATCACCAGAAATAAGCGTTTGAAAAAATTACTTACGAATTAACACGAAATCTTGAAAGTCCTGTCCGTGACCTCTGACTGACATGAGTATGGCTCCTTAGATTAAAACAGATCGGCAGAAATAGGCGATTAATAAAATGACCTTGAAAATTTTAAAGTCCTCTACACGGCAAACCCTCAGGCTGATATTGTCGTGACTTTTACATGACGTTGACCTGTCCGTGACCTCTGACTGACATGAGTATGGCTCCTAACAGATCGGCAGAAATAGGCGATTAATAAAATGACCTTGAAAATTTTAAAGTCCTCTACACGGCAAACCCTCAGGCTGATATTGTCGTGACTTTGACATGACGTTGACCTGCCCGTGACCTCTGACTGACATGAGTATGACTCCTTAGATTAAAACAGATCGGCAGAAATAGGCGATTAATAAAATGACCTTGAAAATTTTAAAGTCCTCTACACGGCAAACCCTCAGGCTGATATTGTCCTGACTTTGACATGACGTTGACCTGTCCGTGATCTCTGACTGACATGAATATGACCACATATATTCCAACAGATTGGCAGAATTAAGCGATTGAAAATATGACCTTGAAAATATAAAAGTCCTCTAAACGTCTATTAACCTAAAACATATCAAAAGCTAAAACAATAAAAGCAAATATACAACGCAAAGTAAGTTTAATTGTCTTTATCTGTAAACTTTTTATACGTGCATAAACTTTAAAGAATTAGAGCTCAATCCTTTGAAGTCGGAGAAGAGAAAGAGTTTGGAAGGATAGCAAGAGGGTAGAAGCAAGGCGGAAATTGTTGAGAGAGAAGTGAGTGACACTTAATTTCTGTGGGGCGGGTTTGTGGGGTAAAATATCGTCTTATACTTAGAAGGTTTCCCAGGGTTTCAAGCCGAAGCCCGTTAAATAATTTAAGAACTCAGTTCGTACCGCAAAGAAAACACAACACTTCACCATCATAAAAGAAAATTTAATAATCCTGATTAAGGAAATAATCTATGTTTACACCAAGAAAGCACACATTGAAATATTATTTCACGAGGTACAGTGTCCATTTTAATTACTGTGTTAGCTAGGTTTGTTACTGAACTTCGATAAAGCTTCTGTTAAATAAACTTCATTGCCGTGGCCCAAAGGCTTAAACTAACCTGTAATTTTATCGTGTGTCGGTTTGACAAGCTGTTGGGTTGCAGCCAAAGGGACTTACTTCTGCCTCTCAGACCGACCCGTCATTAAACGTGTTTCTTTTTTTTTTGCCCTCGTAGAACATCCATCGTTCATCAACCAATGTGTCAGTCTCTCGTAAAAAATACATTCTTCCTCGATTTTTGGCCATAGTGATATAGAGTTTTAGTTGTGTACGTAGAGCGTTGCAGGAAAACGTCGGCTGGTAGGATATTTCATGACAAGTATACGGTTTTCATTTGTCTTTCTGACAAGTCCGCCCTGGTCATCAAATATGGCCGTGGGGGTATGACAGGGAAACACAGCTCAGCACTCTTTATTGTGGCTACTCGCTCAGATGTGTGGGCCTGGAGGAAAATCATGGCATATAAATGGTTGTTTCAGATAGAAGACCATTCATATTGGAGTCAAAAGGGGGGATTTATCATGTACAGATTCATGACAGTTGGAAGTTAAAACACTCGACACTGACGAATTTCCGAAAAGATGTGGACTTTGAAATAATTAATACTCGCTTTTGAATTTTAATGAAAACAACTTTTGAACTTTAAAGATATAAGCTGTATTTTGTCGTCACAAAAGAATTAGAAATGGATTTTTCACCGTACCGGATACTGGATTAATTTCATCAATTAGACCTAACACAGTAGATTTTACGTCTGAATGTAGACAGACTCCAAACTCCGAAACGTCGTTTTTTTAAATAATGTATAGGACGATGGATAATGATCAACACCGGTGTATGTATTGATGTAACGCATCTAATTAAATATTAATTTAATTTCCTTAGATGTAATTGTAAATGAGCTATGCTAAATATGATTTACCTATGTTACTCGAGCAATACACGTGAAGGGAGGAACATTTTTTCTGTGACATTTTGGTGGGCCTTTAATATGAATGTATCATGCACGTGCTATCGTTCCTCCAAGGGGAAACAAAAAAAAAGAACTAGACTGTGAATTGGACATCCTGCAGCTTGTATTGGCTTAAAATATTGCCCGGTCTTTTGTGCCTTGGTTCTGATTTTCCAGAATAGCAGTCACCACGGTTAAAACGGCGGTCCATGTGTATAGTTTGCATTCGGGAACCCGGCAGTAGGAAGTGATAACCTCCCTGACCTCTGTTCATTGTGAACAGGTTCGCGTCATAATAAAAGTGTTATTCGTATCTGCATGACAGGCACATTGGGTTTATGGGGACAGTGGTTTTCGTTCATATCAGCTGCACGGTATTGTTTTCAGAAAATGGGATTCTGCTTCCTGTAAAAGTAGAATGCTAACGTCGGTTGCATTTTATTGTGTTCGCCGTGCATGTATTTGATTGGTTATTGGGTACGCAGATCGCGATTTGAAACAGCACATGAAAGTTCTCAGTGGGAATGCGGTATTCGATCCTTGGACCCAGAAAATGCACAATTTACAATGCCCTCGACAAAACACGCTTTATGTGACTTCAATTATAAATCAAGGATATATTTTTTTGTTGATGAAACAGAAAATTATTTCATGAAACTGATTACAAGCAACTTACGAGTAGTAGTAGTTCCTCATTTTATGATGCAACTAAAATCTTCATCTTCAGTATCTTGTTTTGCCTGACTGTACTCTATTGAATGTGAATGTTATTTTAGTTTAAAATATATAATATAATTCAGGTCTATACACAAACTTTATTTACAGATGTTTAAAATTTAAAATTTGCGCTATTCATCGTTACTACGATGTTACAATACTGCGCCTTCATTTACTACATGTTTCGATGCGTAGCATCATCTTCAGGTTTTTCCTTTAAAACTACTTTATATTACAATGCAAGTTTTTCAATTTATTCATCTGTTTTGTAAATTATTATAGTATGTGTTCTGTTGATCTTCTTATTTTATGTATCTTATGTTTGTTTTCCATTATTCTGTGAATAAATTACAAATATACAACAATATTCCAAACGTATTTACATATAAATAAATAACCCATATGTTAATTAATTTATTCACAGAATAATCAACAGAACACATACTATAATAATTTACAAAACAGATGAATAAACTGAAAAACTTGCATTGTAATATAAAGTAGTTTTAAAGGAAAAACCTGAAGATGATGCTACGCATCGAAACATGTAGTAAATGAAGGCGCAGTATTGTAACATCGTAGTAACGATGAATAGCGCAAATTTTAAATTTTAACATCTCTAAATAAAGTTTGTGTATAGACCTGAATTATATTATATATTTTAATTATAAAACACAAACATGACGCATTTAAACTTTAAACTTATTTTAGTTTACTTACGTCAACATCCAGCCCGAATATAGGGAATATTTTCATGGCGGGGTCCTCTTTTGGAGTGAAGCGATAGAATTCTCGTCGACCTTTGTACCATTTGACCGAGTAAAGGGAGTCTCCTTCCAAGTCGAAGTGGCAGAACAGAGTCGCTGTTCCTTCCCTTAGAATTGCTGCAGGTACACTAACCCTCACGTCTTTGAGACAGAAGCAACTTTCTGGAAAGAGAATTTTAATATTCTTACTCAATTAGCATAATATAACTCAGATAAATAGAAACATCTGTCTGGTATTAGATCCAAACCTTACATTTGTTTTAGTGTTCATATTTAATAACCTGTTACACAAGAATTCACGATATGGTACACCGTTAAATTCGACTGAAATATTACGCATGAGAATAATAAAAATTTCCTTCTGGCATTCTATAAGCACGGATAATATACATTTATTTATATCTTTTATAGAGAAGCCATTTAAATTATATGTAATAAACACGTGTTGGAGTAAAACTTTACCCAAACCTGAGCAATTTTTATGAAACTACTCATGCTTTTTTAAATTCGATGTTCTCTTAATCGAGTTCTAGACCCGTCTCTGTTTACGGTTCTACGAATATTATCATCTCATCACTTTAGTAAAATTCGCGCAGTTTAAATGAAAGTCAGTTTAGGATTAGTTTAGGCTTCACTATTTCATAAATTTGTTATGAATCAGTTGGTATGAATGTACCAGGGAACTTCTAAGTTTCCAAAATGGGTCAACACAAAAATTGGAATGAGCAGCCCACACACGTTACTTTATTATTCACTAAATCGAATAGCACTTTCAAATAGTATTTAATATTAAATAAGTATGAAGATATTTTCTCAGTCCCTCTAGGCATATACTGAGACGATAAATTATATTGGTTCAAGACCGATTCATATCTTAATATTTTCAATTTATTATATAAATCTTTTCGTCTTAATATTCGACGTTAAATTACTTCCAGCGTCGTTAAATAGATTATAAACAGATACAGAATCTATCTTTGGAAGATTGAAACGCAAATGGGTGAATCTGATTTAAATGAACATAATTAACATCTCTAAACGCTTCCCAGAACTCGGAACAATGTTTGTATTTTTAAATTGATTTTTAGGTATTTGAATATCCTCATTTGCCTACGCTTTAATTACGATCCTATTCTGAGGGCACATATATACAAGTAATGTATTTTATATATTATTATATCATACATATTAAGAAACTAAATTGAAAATTCATCTTTAATAAAGCGGCTTGTTACAAATAGTATAATAACATTTCTTTTTTACTTTTAACGATGAAGGCTTTTGGTTTATTAATTAAGTACAGCAAATAAGCGGTATATGTGGGGAATGGTTTGTAAATTTTTATGCTATTTGTGTAGAAGGAAAAAGCTCACATAAGACGATACTTTTATGTAATTTAGCAGAGATGAAGTCAAGTCTTGTTAGAAACATTGTATCACTTAACAAGGAACTGACAAAAACAGATGATATTTTTTGTACTTGAAACTTCTAGAAGCAATTTCCTGTTGTAAAGAAATCCTTTGTATATAATCGTATCACAGTAAGGAATCAGGCCTTAAAAGGGGGGGGGGTGTATATCAATTGTCAGGTTGTTGATCGACGGGTCCCTTCCTGTATTTTGCTTCGTGTTACTCCAGCGAAATTCGCTGCAACAGTTCGGGAGTTCAGATCTTATGGAACAGGAATTTTCATTAAAAGTAATGCAGTTTGTGCATGGTTCATAAACAACTCCGTAAACCTAGGCGCAGATGTGTAGATAATATTAAAATAGATCTTAGTGAAATACGATTGGAGTGTGTGGATTGGATCTATCTGTCGCAGGATAAGGTTGATGTCTGATTTTTTGAACACCGTAATGAACCTTCAGGTTCTGTAAAAGGTTTGAAATTTCTTGGCTAACTGAACGTATAAAAGTTTCTTCAGAAATGCTAAAGTGCTCTATGTATTTGCAGGGGCTGACAGAGGATTCCCCACCCAGTGACTTGGACGCTCCAGAACGTAAGTGTGGCTTCATATAAAGTGTCTCTTATTATTCCTGTAATTGTTTCTTTGTTCGTATAAACAGTTTGATGCTTTTTAGAGAATTTCTGTGAAAGCATAATTGTCGTTAGGTTTAGAGGAAAATATTAGGCAATTAAATTATTTGTAAATGATTACGTTTCACTGTCCTATAGACATTCTAGATAAGCGTAAGTAGAAGGTACAACTACAGATGTCTCTCACAATTCTTATTTGAAAGAGGCTTTCAAAGAGGTTTGAAGTTACAGGGATAATTCAATTCTGAGTCCATTGTTCATATCTCAGAATTATACTAAAGTTATTCTAAAGGATTTTGTCGATGGTTTTGGTTAAAATTTCTGTGGACATTTTGCATCGTCGGGTTTTCTCATAACAAGGCGTTTCAGGGACTGGACCTGTCTCAGTCTTAGAACTCGGTGGGGTCCGATGTCTCCATCCCTGGACCTAAATCGTTTGTGTTCCATGTTAGAGCAGCTTTATTAATAAGCTTAGAATATAACATATTATTTTATAATATATATTAATTTCTTGAAACGAGATGATACGCTTGTATTAAATACACAAATCCTTGTAATGATCGAGTTTAAACTTTTATGTCGTTTTGTTATAAAGGTAGATACTCGTTTTTTAACGTAAATGTAAAGTACATAGAATTTATAATTTTTAATTGGGAAACTTTAATTTTGTTCATAAAGGTTTCTCACGTCAAGGGACCATTGATGAGCAGTAGGCTATAAAAAGTGAATCGAATATTTGTTCCGCCAGTCTGATGGTAGAGAGAATTTTCCTCAGAATCACTGAACAGGTTGTCCGTGAAGCAGACTGCCAGTACATCAGAATATATTGTTTGTGAATTTATTATTGCGCATGCTGGAAGAAAATATAATTGGTGTGCCCTACAAAGACTGAAAATTGAGAAAATCTTGAGTTGAGTTTTACTGTACGTTCTAAGCTGACGTTTATTTCGGTCTGTCAGAAGAAATAAGCGGATCTGGACCGGGGTACGCTGAACTAAACTGAAATATGAAATACAGCACGTTCGTTCTTGAGAATCTGTCTATTATCTAAAACAGTTCACCGTCTATTATGGACTCCTGAGATGATGCTTTATTGTATTTGCAGTCTATCAATGGTCCCTATCCTGATCTGTATGAAATCAGTCCCAGTCATTTAACTTTTTACCTAAAGATATATTTTAATATTATTCTGTCATCTACGTTGAGGTCTTCCCATTCTTCCTTTTGGTTTCCAGGCTACCATTTTGTGTACACATTTTATTTATTGTTTGTTTTATCTTGTATGATTTTATCATTGTAAAAATTTGTGGTGAAGATTACGAATTAGAGCAACATATTATATAATTTTTTTTTTAAAAAAAAACTAACCTGACCTAATCTAACTTTACTCAACATGACCAACAATGGCATAGTGCACGCAATAACACTAGGACATTCTTTTATTATTAATAATTAATAATTCAGTCCGTACCGCAAAGGAAACAAACACATTACTATTACGAAAATGTTATTTAACGCTGTTTAAGGAAATAATTGCTGTTTAATCTGACAATTTTTTTTTCGAAATGTATAAAAAGACAGAGTTATAGATTGTCAAGCAGGTGGTACAGATATGTACCACTAGGCTTTGAAGTGTTAAAAGTCGTAGGAAAATGAGAACTTGTCAGCGTGTTACCTTTTTCTCTACAATTTATTGTCAATCTTGGTTCCACTTGGAGAAACTGTTTTTTTTTGGTAGAAAAAAGAACCAGAATAGATACTACACGGTTTCAAGACGTTAGAAATCAGACTTGTTCTGATATCGTTAGCGGGTATAATGCTTATGTATATGTTTATTATTTTGTACTGCGTTAAAGTAGCGCTGTTTAACGTTGAATACCTGCATCAGTGGGTTTAATTTAGATGTGCATTGTTTTTCGTAATGTAACATCACTTCTGCCAGCGGTATTATCCTGTTCTTTTCACTGTGCGTTAAATTGAATTGCAACTTTGTTTCAGTGGATCACATGACACACTTTCACACTACAGCAAACAAGACTGTTTTAAATTAAACCACATGTCCCAAAAATGCATGGGAATAGTTTTCATCGAATTCTGAATTATTGAAAATTAATTCGTTTCTTTACAAACTGCGTGCTTCATTAATTAAATGTGTCATAAATTTTACAATACCTGTCTTTTCGTCCGTATATTCCGATGAAACAGTTCCTATAAAATTTTGTGAAGTCGTTCCTGAAATTTCTTGAGTAAAGTCACAATAATACCAGAAATTTGCTCGCCAAAAGTGACTGGTAAATTCCAATTGGTATCTAAAGCATTTTTATTGAAAAGTACAGCAAAGCAGCATTTAAAAATTAAAAGAATTACTTATTCATGCTTAATTACTAAAGTTTAAGAGCCTTAATAAGTAAGCTTAAACATCTATTTCGCTGTTGTTTTATAGAAGTACTTGCCCGTAATAGGCCATATATAAGTGAACAGTCTTTTGTTTCACTACATCGTTTTAACCAATCGACATATACAATCAAAATTAAGTAATGTTTAACAAAACAATTAATGTCATTACTTATCTTTGCTTAAATAAAGAATATAATATGAGTTTATGTAACACAGCCTCAAATATGATCATATATGTTTTGTAATACTTGCACATAGTAGGTCTCCCTTAACAGCATCATAATTTTATCTCACGAATCGCAAAAAAACCCCTTAACATTTGATTATAAAAATACCAAAACAACACGTGCATTCATAAATATTATTACATAAGGCCCAAAATTTCATAACACCAACTAATGATAACCAACAAACCAACTTTACTTATTGTGTAAATGTTACAGAAGTCATGAATCTTTGGTTCAACTATAGTAAATATGGTTCGTTTCACTTGGTTTAGAATCTGGGTTTGCACGTGCTTGAAGGGAACGTAATGTAAGTACGAATCTTCTCAGAAATGCTTGGCGACCCGGAAAGTGAAACCCGAAGGGGTTAAATCTAAGGTGTTCATTACCCTTGCAGGTTTTACTGTCAGCAAATAGAATTTATTTCACTTCTAGATGTACCTAGATCAAAGCTTGGCTCCTCTCAACATATTAACGTAATAGAATCGGCCACACTTTTATACGTCCTTTCACTTTTTCGTTCTTTACGTCATTCGTATCTGGTAGAAGTTTACGAACGTTTCAGAGGTCCTTACTGCCTCCATAGTCAGAGTGATGATGAAGGCAGCAAGTACCTCTGAAACGTCGATAAATTTCTACAAGACTACATGGAACAACAACCCAAACGACAGAAGACTGCCATCTTCAGACTCACAGCTGTGTAAACCTCAAAGGTTTGAAATTGCATTTCTTATAACTCAGATAGAGGCAGAGTGTACAGGATTCCTTTACAAATCTGCTTTTTTCTATGACGTGAACTAAACGTTGGTATTACTGGAATCTGTGTTTCGGTTTATAACAATTTATACATTTATCTCTCTATAACACAGACAGACACAGGTAGATTCAACTGTTGTTTAATATAAATGAAGAACATCATTCAAAAATTTTGCGTAATCTGAGCAAAGTACGTTTTGGGCATATGAAGTATGGATGTTGAGAAATACAACCAGTTTAATTAACAAAGTTAGTTTCGAATGGCGTGTTATTATTTCCATTACAAATCTGTGGTCAGGCCACGGACTTAAATCTTTGCTTAATATGAAGATGGTAACGAAGCTCAAAGTCTTAAAAGTGACACTCGCGGGCGGCGATTACTTTGAAAGTAACACCGACATGAGTGCAAGTTAATGAAACTCTCTCTCTCTCTGTCTCTCTCTCTCTCTCTCTCTATTCTGGTTCTGGGTTGTGTAAGGAGAGATTCCTTCGGATTCTGCTAACTGAATAGGCCTACCTTACGACCAGAACGGAATATGAGAGAAGGTCTGAGGTTTGCGTGTACGTCTACCTGGAGGCCAAATGATGTACAGTAGGAATTTCTAAAATACCGAGATCTCGATACGTAGTTCTCTAGATAAAAGACCCAGCGGAATGAACGTCAAAGCAGAAGGAAAAACAAGTCAGTGCCTTTTAGTAGAGAAGCATTTTGCTTTGGTAGTGTCTGTGATGTTTAACTTCGCGCGCAAGATAAGTTGAGACGGGGAAAAAATATGTTTAAATATTTTCTTGTCTTACGTGGGAAGTTAACGCCATGAAAGCCAAAAATTTTCTTAAGGGATTTTAAGCAGTTTAGTCTGGCACAAGTTTTCCGACGTTTCAGTAATGCTTGTTGGTCTTGTCATCAGGGCAATTCTGAAATGTCAGTAAAACTTCTATACCACACTACAGAAAGCAATATCTTACAAGACAGTCATGAGAACCTAAGATCTCACCTAAATATTTTATTGTCTTATCTGGACTTTTATTACGATAAATGTTTTTTATTATCAAGAAGCTCTTTCTGTGTCTTGCAGCCAGATGAAAACACGAATTAATGTTTGCCTGAGGCAGAGTTACTCTTGAGAAGCTGATATTCGCTCATGTGGTAATCCCCGAACATTTACGGACACCAAAGTTTTATTGACGTGTTTATGAGAGCCCGAATTTGACCCCTATTCTGTGCCACATTAATCCAGTCGACACCCTTATGATCTATATAAGATCCATTTTAATATTATCTTCCTTCTACGCAAAGGGTTTCGGGTTTTCCGACCGAAAAGTTGTATGACTTTTAATTTCTCATTCATTCTGCATTCCTCACCCATCTCATCTTCCTTGATTTCATTAGTGTAATGACATTCTATGAATGGTGCAAATTATGCAAATTTCTGTAGCCTCCTCTGTGCATTATCCTGAAAATCTTGTTCACGAAATCCTCATTCCATGTTTTTCCGTTTATTTTTCGAGACCAAGTTTTGCACCCGAACAAAGTAACAGATAAAAGTTATGTTGAGTTTGTAACATCGGTGACGATTATGACGAC